TGTTTTTTTCATTTCAGGCAATAACGATATCTATCACGATATAAGCCAAATAACTATATTTGTAAGATTTAAATGTGCCGTTGCTCACAAGTAAAATGTGAAATAATAAGCAGCTTGTTTTTATTTAAATATTTATTTCCCATAATAAGTTCAACAGGGTAGATGTACTTAAGGAACATGAGACTTTTTCAGATAAATAAAGGCAAATATTGCAAACTACACAAAAGGCAGCCGCTAAAGCGTTTAAGTTTCAAAATAGAACAAACGAAACAGACTACTAAATTGTCAATTCCACTTAGAAACAAAATATTAATTCTAAAAATAAATCTTAGTTTGTTTTACAGAAGAACAGACAAAACTGACTAACTTTTGTCAATATCAAATAAACTGAGAACTAAAAGGAAATTCTCAATCTCTCCTTGTTGTATAGCTTAGCTTTTCAAACAGTTTTAACAGTTACTTTAGTCTGACAAAAGCCGAATGACGAATTAGCGCTTCCAGTCAGAGACTGAGGCTACGTCCACACGTACACGGGTATTTTTGAAAACGGAGATTTTCCGTTTTCGTTTTAAAAAATAATCCCGTCCACACATAAAGGCAGAAATGAAGGAAAACGCTGCTATGAACATGCCAAAGCAGCAGGTGGCGCTAGATTCCTAACCGTGCAGAAATGTTGGCCAATCAGAAGTCTAGAAGCCTCGGTGGGAAAAAGTAAACAAAGCTGGGGCATAGAAGCAGAACCGAGTCGTATGTGTGGACGGACAGTAATTGTGTGTATATGTAAGCATTTAAACACTGCAGAGAGTCGAATTAACAGTAACAGTATTGTAGAAATTCATTTCACCGAAACAATAACGTGGCGCACAGTGTGACGCATGCACCAGTTTATTGTATTTCCAGACTTGCTTTCGGCACAATTTACAGTGCACGCTACTCTGTTTTTTGTCAGACTTGAAATAGCCGAAATACCTTCACACTACGGAACTTCTATGGCTCTTCCGTTCGACAATCTCTCCGGCATTGGAACCATCATCTGTTTTCTCTTCGGTCACGCTCGGTTGATTTTTCTAGTCGGCACACTCATTTCCTCCATTACGCGCTGGCTCCATTACCCGCTGGCTGCTTCCCAAACAAACACACGTGCGGCTTGGCACTTGTGCTGTACGTGACGCTGCGGCTGTGATTGGTTCGGCTCTGCGCTACCTAATTTGTATTGGCTGACCTTTTTTTTTTTTTTTTAAGAGGACAAGAGCGGCGAGGTCTATCGCGATAGCTTAATTTCTCTATCGAGTAAAAGTTATATCGCGATACATATCGTTATCGTTCTATCGCCCAGCTCTACGCTGTCCCTGTGACGTACTTGGACAGGGCCGGCTTCTCCCCAACAGCGCGCTCGAGCCAATGTCCTTGGGATGGACCGTACCCAACACAAGCCTGGGGCCTCAAACCGCCAGGATTTTTCTCCCGGAGACTCGAACTCCTCTGGCGCCAGAGGGAGTGTTCTCCCAGGGCGCCAAACAGGCTAGGACATCCGCTGCACAGACTCATGCTCATAATATAAGTCAGAGCTTTATAAAAATAAATAAATAAGTAAAGTTTTGTTTTCAAAAAAAGTAATCCCATTACTTTACAGATTACTTATTTTCAAAAGTAATTAATTACTTAGTTACTTAGTTACTTTTTTAAAAACACGATTTACAACCTGAATAGGTGATAAAGCGATAGATCTTTCAGCCCAATTCTACTTTTTCTGCATAATCCATCATACAAAATGTAATCAAATGGAAAAGTCTCTTTTTTTAACTTGTTTTATCAGTTTTAATCTTTTAACTTTATGCATCAAGCAAAAATTAAATTATATGCACCATTCTCTGACTTGAATAAATTAGTTTAACATTTAAACCTATTTTCTGCACATAAAATAAAATATTTTTTGTGTTTACACTCAGTCTTTCAAATAGATGCAAGTAAAACACAGCAGAAAATAAATAAAGTCAAAGACTAGCGGTCCTTTTTGCTCTATTTTCACCTGTAAAGCAGGAGTGGCGTAGGCGGAGGTTTGCCCTGGTGCAGGTGTGCCGCAGCAGTCAGTTGAAGAATCCACGAGTTTCTCTGTGAATTTCCCATTACGTCGTTGCGCACTCGGTGTTTAGGGGGTTTTTTTTCGCTGTAAAAAGACGTTTTCTTCCCACGCACAACGGACACTAATGTTTTTGTCACTTTTTATGGAATCATACTTAAAGTAGGGTCAGTACTTCCACACTTTAAACGCTCCATGCTCATACTCTCTCCTGCACTTGATATATTATCCATTGTTGATCACAAACGTTGCACTCACTTACGTCACTGTCATGAGACATTCTAGCAAAAAAATCACGGTTTTAGTAACGCAGTAAAGAAAAGTACCTAAAGCGAAATGATCGTTAACGTGGACATTGAATTATTAACACAGCGTTCCTACGGGAAAGTAACGGTAATCTAATTACCTTTTTTGCAGTAGTAATCCCTTACTTTACTCGTTACTTGAAAAAAGTAATCAGATTACAGTAAAGCGTTACAAGTAATGCGTTACTGCCCATCTCTGTAACACACACACTGAGACAAACAAAACAAGAATAACAAAACATGGAGATGAGACTGGGACAGACATGAACAGACCAGAAATCAAAAACTATAAATACAAACTCAGAGGAACCAGAAAGTAACACCCTCAACTAGAACATAATTAACTTCTTACTATCAAAAAAGTGAATAACGAGTCCAAAACAAAACACAAAAACTGGATAATGCCAGGAAGAAAAACAGGATAATGACACTTGTAATATATGTCAAACTGACCACTTTAAGTTATAGAGGATAAGTTGATCTAAAATACTGCAGCAATAATACAGACAGGGACTAGAAAGAGAAAGCATATTTCTCCTATCTAGCTTCTCGTCATTGGCTCCCTGTTGAATCGAGAGTACAATTTAAAATCCTTCATGCCCCACATCAGGCAGGGCTCTAGAGTGCGACCAATTTAGTCGCAAATGCGACCAAATTTTTCAGTGGTGCGACTAAAAAAAAATAATTGGTTGCACCCGTGCGACCAACTGTTCGGGTAGCAAGAAAAAAAATAAATATCTGCAACATTCCCTGTGGTCAACAACAGACACACATTATGCCCCTATCGTGGACTAAACCAATCAGAGATAGTAAGGGGTGGGATCTCTCTGATTGGCCGTGGTCCAGTTGAAAGTGCAGGTGGAAGTGGGAGGTGAGTAGCTTGAATAAAGCGATATCAATTCATTAAATCCTGAATCGACTTTTAAATATAACTGTGTTTTGCCAGAAACGCCAGATTCTCAGATTAAAGCTCACAAAACCATTTCAACAACAACCAAACAGCAAACGAGAGCAGGTACACGGATTCCACACAAAGACGTAAACACAGAACGGACCCCACGCATCAGAATCGGCTTTGTCTTTCTCGGCTTTCTCACCCGATGGCCCGTAGACGGACACGCTGTCGGAACTTAGCGATTCTGATGCGTCCGGTCCGCGCTGTGATTACGTCTTTTTGCGCTGATTCTGAGCTGCAGGTTTTGTCTCTCTCCAACCAAAATTCACCGAGCCAGCAGCAAAAGAAGCAGCAAACTGCGTTTCACATTTGGGACTAGTAAAGCGCTATATAAATACAGGCCATTTACCCTGAATCCTCCTGTCTGGGGGCTCTAAACCAGCAGACTGAGGAAACCACAAAGTGAATTAAAGCTAGCAAGCTTCGTGTTAGCACACTAACACGAATCTTGCTAGTGTTAGTATGTTATTTTGTTAGCAGCATAATGCAGTTGTTTCTGTCCTGTATGCAGTTTGCACTGTACCATTGCTCTGTTGTCCTTTTGTAAAGTAAAAATAAAATTAATGTCCATTTCCACCCTACAGACTGCACCATTATTTTCCTCCTCCAGCACTGGAATGGAAATCATGTGATTGCAGCACAAGTGCAAGTGGAACCGATAAGCAAAATCGTTAAGCAAGCAGACTAACATTTATAAAGCATTAAACTACTGGAAATTGGGACCCAGTACAACTGAACTACTCAGAATTTAATTCCTATCCTTAGATGTCATTGTCTCCACTAGCCCTCCTGTAAAAATATTGCACACCAATTACTGCCTTCCACAGGTTGTCAGTCTGACAACCTGTAGAAGCACTGGCGCATTTCACTATCTCTCTTCACACTCTTCGTACTTCTGTCTTGGTCAGTCTCATGTTACCAAAAACACTTTAGTAGTGCAAAACTATGTGTGACACAGTAGCCATCCCTTCTAACCATCAGAGAGCATCTTATTGATGTGGTGTGAACAAATGAGGTCCCCAAGCCTCCATGTTGCGATTTATGTTTATCTGTAAGGCTAATATCTCATAATTAGCATCACATATGTGTGTTTGTGTTTTGTCATTTACTGCACACAGTGTATTGCGGAGAAGTTTTGGAGGTGGACTGCTCCTCTGATACTATTAGACATTACAGAGAAAGTCCCCTTCTCTAAGGAATTTAAGGGGGAGGGTTGTCTCACTAGTGAGTGCACCAGAAGGTAAACATGGTCACGAGTTTCTGGGCTTGGAGAACTCTCTCTTTTCATGCGGGTCTAAAGGAGGGTAAGAGGTGGTTGCCATGGTGACGAGTGAAGTAGTCAGAAAGCTGCAGAAGAGGAATGGTGCCAGGATTGGGTTCATTCTGAACTAAAGGTGAACTAAATGGTAAGTTTACTACAATATATTATAATATATATCATAAATTAGTAATATATATATTACCTTTAATCAGCAAGCTAATATACATCATATGATAGCCAGCAGTAAGATGAATTCATTATTAATTATATTAATTAAATGATACAGGACTGAAGTTGTCCCGCTACCCATGTGTCTTTAGCTTTCCTAAACTGCTTAAAGCTTGGCAAGATCTGCAGCTTTACCTTATGCACTCAATAAGTCATGAACACAAATCAAAATTTTGTGCTCAAAAATTACTTTTATTTGCTTTCATGAAAGAAGACATTACATGAAAAAAAAAATTACATGTTTAATGGGTATCAAAGATACAAGTAAAATACAGAATTAAAACAAAATGGCATTGCTCAGCACATAGAATAACATGTATGTAAAGGGAGTACAAATTTGTGTTATTATTTATTTTCAGTGTAATATGCAGCCAGGACTTAATTTGAAGTTGTGTAGTCTAAACACTATAGTGTTTACTATAAGAAATTATTCACTAATCTGCCTGCTTTCCTGGGTTTTTGACTGCAAGTCCATTCTTTACATCACATCCACTTTCCCACAGTGTCAAACAACTCTGACAATACTGACATCATCACTCTAAGCTGGATAATTTTCTTGCCTGCCTGCTGCAAGACAATCAGCCTCTCTTATGTGTGTGCTTTAAATCTCACTGCTGTTTCGTCATTCTGTCTTTCAGACTCTCATATGTGCAACCCGACTCCTCCACATTTCCTTCCATTCAGAACCCACATCCAAGCCTTCATCCTCAATTCCACCACTGCCAGCATCTAGACACCAGGAGTCTTGTCCTAATTCCTATCATTGTTGGGACTTTGTTCTGCCATGAGCGGTCCAGAAGGTCTAATTACAAAGTTCTCTTTAAAGAACTGAAGAGAATTCATCTTCAGTTCTTTAAAATGATCAGTCCTTACCAAAAAAACCCAAACTGATAAAAAGCCATAGATTTGACATATAAATCATGTTCACATGTATGCTCAAATGTGAAATGTGTGTTTTATTTATTATTACAGCTGCACAAGACTTTCATTGTATCAATCAATAGTGAGACAGAACAACTGAAAGTTCTTTTTCAATCCCAAATGCTTTGACACTAACACACAAAACACATAATGTGATATTCAGTGAGAAACAACAATGCAGGAGATTTTCCTGATATATTTACATAAATTAAAGACACCCCCATTTCAAAACAATGTTCTCTGTGTTATGCTAACCATTCAAGTGACAAAATGTGCAAGATATTTTTTTCTCTATGTACTAATGTGTGCAGATGAAATGACTGTATATCTTGCATTGTTTATATTCAATCTGTTGAAAATAATTGTAATTGTATATCAAGACAGGTCATTTAAATTAAAAGGAAAAACCTGAACTTGACTCTTACAGCAAGAAGATAACAAGTTAATTTGGGGGGAAATTTCAATTTCAATTTTTTTTTCCAGAAATATGGTTTAAATTAAAGGAAATTACCACAATTTATACATTCAGCACTTCTCTAAGATCCACAGTGCAATACAAGGCACTGGTTGGATTCACACAAGAACAAATCAGACATAGATCTTGTAGCTAATTTACTTTGTAGATATTGTTGATTTAAAGATACTATTTTAAAGAATTGCTGGTCTTCACACTAGTAGTCGTTGACTGTACCACCTTAACTGAGACAGTTTATACTTAGGCAGAACATCTGTCAGCATAGGAATAAATAAAACTTCTAAGGAGGATTATGGGGCATGTGAAAACCAGCATCCAGCTTAACCCATACCAGAAACCTTAGGATTATTAGGCTGCTACTCTTTAAGCATGAACATTGTTTAATTGTTATAACAATGCCATACAATTCAGTGAATACTTCTTAAACATAGAAATGGTCGAATGTAAATACAACTCTTTGTGTGTATCTTATGCACCTTGTTGAGGCAAACTTTAATGAATGTATATTTATCTCACAGCTACAATATTCATTTCTGGCAGGTCATCCACAGTGTAGTCCAGTGATGAATAAAATTATTAACTCATTCACTGCCATTGACGTCTATAGCCGTCAATTGCAGTGAATGAGTCAATGGGTTTAACTCATTCACTGCCAATGGCTGGCAGTGAATGAGTTAAGATCTCTGACATTTTGATGGAATCCAGGTTATAAGCTTACTAATAATATATACCATAAGACTGTGATAAAAGTAGGACATCAGGTAAGAAAACCATCAATTCAAGTCAATTGTCTGCTCATTTTTTCATGACAGCATTTAAGAACATAGCATGCACTTTGAACCCATAACATTTGATTTCAAATATGTCAGTGGGTGCCCTAAAGTGCAAGATGTTAAAGGCAGACAACACAGAGCATCTGATTATTAACTTGAAGAATAAGAGGGTGATGCATGGCCCAGTATGCAATATTACGGCCCCTTAAGCATACTAAACAGAAAGGCACCATTGATATTTGTCTGCACTGAAATATTCTTTTAACTATACTATGAACTGCTGCATACTAGCGTATGGCACTTTACCTACAAGACATCTGTACTGTTTTTTTTATAAAACTTTATTTACTACATCTCTAAAATAAAAGTTTCATTCTTCATTTGTCTTTAAAAGTCTTTACACAGCAAATAAATTATGAGAATTTATCGAAAATAAAGGTTTAAAGGTTGTTTATATTCTTCCTCCATGTGAAGTAATCTTAGCAATTTCTTTTCTTTCTTTTTTTTTTTACTTTACGCAGCAATTAAATCTTGTTGGTTGATGAGGCTAGATGACTTTACTGGTAGGTCATCATTTGGTGATGCTGGGTTAGTCCTGCCGCTATCTACAGCCCTGAGTAAAAGGACTGTATTCCTGTCTGCACTTAGGAAGGGTATGTGTTCCCCCCGAGGCTCCTCTGTATCACTTACTAGTATGCTGTCACCATTTAACCTCAAATAATCAACCACATGGTCAGTGACACTATTGTTGCTGCAGTCACTTACATTGTTGTTTGTGTTAATTAATTTCACAGGTGCTATTGAAAACATATAGCTGGCAGCTCTGGTGTCCTGTATGGTTTGGTAGTCAGTATTCTCCATAGCGAACAGTGGACTAGATGGCAAGCTATCTGCCACATGGCCATGATTGTAGTGTGAAGAGGTTCTCTTTTGTACATCCCGGCTTGAGGACTTGTGCAGCTGATGCAGCAAAGGGCGCTCTTCCTCACCAGAGGGACTTAAAGTCACAGAGGGAACAGAGATAGCTAGGCTGGATATGGGGGCTGAAATCTCGGATGGAGGAGAGCCAGGGGTTGCAAGAGAGTTCTGCGACTCTGAAGTTGCCATCACTGGTACAAACCTAAAAAAAAAAAAAACACATGTGAACAATGAACTGAACTGAATGAATTGAACTGAAGAAGCTTCTCGGATGAGAGGTGAAACGTCTTCAAGCAACTTAAAGAAGTCCAGACGCTTTTCTTTGCAAGCTCCTTTGACTACGATGACCTGGATGACTGAGAACCTTCACAGACACATGTGAACAATGATTATACAACTGGGTCAGTAGCATTTCAATTCAACATCAGTATAACTTAACACACAATAACTAATCACATTATTACTGGGTGTTAAATGAATTAACATGACATAATGATTTTCTAGTGTTGCTGACTAAAAGCACTTTTATACTTTAAGCTGCAAATTCAGTTAATTAAGCACTTTGATTTATTTACCTATAACACACACACAAAAGAAGTTTTTTTTAACAAATGATCATAAGAAGACTGCTAGTCTATGGGCTCAAACTGTGGTCATAAATATTTTGTACTTGTAAATCAGGATTTGTATGTGTAAAAAGAATTTGTGTGTGTGTAAAAAAGATTTGTGTGTGGACTTAGCCAAAAAAAAACCTGCAAGTTACAAGTACGAATTTTGACCCTATATTTCTTCCTTTCATCTGATTGGTCAATGTCATGTCAATCACAAATGTAACAATCCAATCAGAGAACAGATGGGTTTGGCGGTCAAATCTTTTTTACGCACACACAAATCTTTTTTACACATACAAACCTTTTTTACGCACACACAAATTCTTTTTAGACATACAAATCCTGATTTTCAAGTACAAAACTGATTTACAAGTACAAAATATTTATGACCACATTTTGAGCCCATACTAGTCCAGCCCCATCTCATTTTCAAAACATCAAATACTTTTGTCAAAGACACATTCGTCTTAAACCAATGAACATGACTATGAAGCACTATGAACTTCATAGTCATGAAGACTATGACACAGGTCTCATTCCCCTACATGATATGTCTGTGAGTCTAATATTTCTGCAAGGCGTAATTGTATCTGACAGAACAACTACAGATGAAATGAGAGAGTGCATTTAATCCAGGGGTCGGCAACCCTGGGTGCGCGTGCCAGCTTAACTGATGGCAAGACCATAGCTGGACGATGGTGATTTTTCGTTTTTATGGGCCGATTATTTATTTATTCATTTTTTTAGTAACAGTATAAACAATGAAAGGTGGTGGATTGGCCAGGTGCTGGCAGATGTGTAAAAATAACTAAGTTGTTTGGTGGTGGCAATGGCGGAGCTACCACAGAGGCTAGCCGGTGGATGAAGGAAAGGGGAGGCAAGAGCAGAGACCCGAGGCGGCTGCCGGTCCGAGTGTCAGGTGAACTGAACTTCAGGAAAGAAGTTATGACCTGCAGTCTATCTGGGTAATAGGGGTGCAACGATACACAAAATTCACGGTTCGGTTCGGTTCGATACTTTGGTGTCACGGTTCGATATTTTTTCGATACAAAAAAAAATGTTCATGCCTTTTTAATTTGTCATTTATTAAAATTATAAATATATATTTTAACGCAAAAGTACAGTTTTTAAATTTAACCCTAACCCTTGTGCGTGTTGTTTTTTAGCTCGTCATATTGCAGCCACAGAAATTCTTTTGTCCATGAAACCATAAAGCTGCACTTTCTTTTTGCCTTATAGTCTGATTTGTCATAACTTCTCCGTTTTGTGGTAAGCTTTTCTTTGGCTGTCACTTCTTCACCCTGACCTGTCTTATTTGGCTCAGCAGAACTAAAATATATATCTGTCTGTGAAGGTTCTCAATCATCCAGGTCATCGTAGTGAAATATATATCCTGCCGCACTCACATAAGCTCAGCGATTCTCTGCGCGATCAACCTCTCACATGTTTAAGCTGCGGGAGATTTCACTTGTCATGTTTGCATAGTAAGCTAACAATTAATAAGACGATGTCAGAGGAATTGGTGCACAAATTATCATCACTCACAGATCAGTGCTGTCGCTCTCTATACACAGTTCGCGCGATTGCAAAGTGAAAGCAAAAAAACAAGCGCAAATTCAAACACGATTTCAATATGTCACATATTGACAGTGGCTCACCCAATGACATAATTACCCAGCTACATTTCTGAAAGAATGCAAAAGCATTGACATATATTTTTCCTTCCTACAATAGCCCGACAGGCAGGGCAGAGATAGCCCCGGGACGTCGGGCTAGCGATATTGCGAGCCCTGTATCTGATTGAGGAATCACTCATCTTTGGAAAAGAGAGTTTATTACAGAGAAATGTCTCTTTCCAAAATAAAAGCTATACTATCCGCTTCTTCTGGGCTATATTCTCAGCAGCATATTAAACATATCAGGTCTCCATAAGGAGAATCCTGTGCTAACAGCTGTCTAAATGACTCGGCTAAAGTTTGTAGCATGCATGCTTGTTGTTTTTGTCTTTGCACTAGGATGATGTCGGTGTAAATGTGCAGTCATATTCGTTGTGTTCCCACTAGTGCTTTCAGGTTAATCTCGTTGAAATAACCTTAACGCCACAACACGGCAAATCTACGTTAACGAGCTACCCTATACAGAGGGGCTAGACAGCCAACACGTTAACGAGCTAACTGCGCTAACACACTAGCTCCCACCCATGTAATTGAGCATTGCATGGCACATCCAACATACTGTTTTACTTTAGTCCATGACTCGCTTACCTTCAGGGTCATACGTCACATGAAAACCAAAATAATTCCAAACGCCAGATCTGAATGAGGGTGGGGAGGTCCACTTCTGTCTCGCTAGCTTGCCCTGCGCTCTTCCTTCTGACCATGCTGTCTGTGTTGAGTGCTCAGTGAATCTGCGTTCGACTACTCCGCCTAGGCTGCACTCTCGAGCCTAGGCGGAGTAGTCAAATGCAGATTCACTGAGCGCTCAACACAGACAGCATCGTCAGAAGGAAAGTTGATAAAATAAATTACAAATTTTGTATTGTTCTTTTTTTTTCTCCCCTTTGGTTTTCTTTCTTTCTCTCCCCCTCTTTCTTTCATTCTTTCCCCCTGTCCTATCCCACAGTCATGTCTGTCCCGTTTGCAACTGAAAATAAAATAAATTCATAATTATAATAAAGGTCAATCAAATGGACCAATATGATGATCCACTTAAAATAAATCCTCTTGGCATCTTTCTTGGCCTCAAGACAACAATTCTGATGGCTATAGATCCAAACGGGACACAAAAAAAAAAAAATTGAAAAAAAAAAATTGAAAAAAATTGTATTGTTCAATACATATGCATACCGAACCGAAAGCACTGTATCGAACGGTTCAATATCGATACGAATATCGTTGCACCCCTACTGGGTAAGATATAAACCAAGTTTAGGTATAGTTTATTTTTGTAGTGCTGAATTTTTACACTCAGTTACAATAACTCGTACTGCGTACTAGCTAGAATGATGGAGTTTCTATACAGCTGGGTGGGTGCTATCATGTTGCTGATTGCGAACTTTATTTTATTCATAAGGTTAGTTAGTAGAGTTGCAACCGTCCCATAAAAAATGGAATCATCCCTCATTCAGAGAAAATATTACACGTTTCGTATTGAGCTGAGAAGGAACGCAGTTTGTCCCGTACTTCAGCTAGAATGGAAAAAGACACAAAGCTGGAGTTATTCTGTCTTTATGCTGTACAGCCTCTTCTTCTCTCATTCTCTCCCCCTCCCTCTCCTGTTGCTACTTCAATCATGAAACTGATCAATGATCAGCTGATTGGCTTTTCTCTCTTGTTTGTTTATCGCCAGCGGCGGTACTAGCCTGTTTGGCGCCCTGGGCGAACACTCCCTCTGGCGCCAGAGGAGTTCGAGTCTCCTGGAGAAAAATCCTGGCGGTTTGAGGCCCCAGGCTTGTGTTGGGTACGGTCCATCAGAATCAGAATCAGAATCAGAATACTTTATTAATCCCGAAGGAAATTAGGGTTACAGCAGGCAGCACGCTAATGGCGCATGCGCACTTACAAAGGAACCTTCTGACCAACTTTACACAAACATCACATTGGGGACACATGTCAGAAAGGTAGGCTGATAGGAAAAAAAAACAACGAAAATACATAACATGAGGTAAGAGGAGGAGAAAAAAAAACCTAGTGAGAGAACAGTTTGATAACAGAAAAAACACCTCAGCACAAAAAGCACATGACTATCAATGCACCATAGAAACACAAGACAAGCAACAGGGGCGGGTAAAGGGTAAGCGAGAGCCGGTGTAGACAGCGCATCCGGTCTTGCAGCATGTCTGCGCTGGTCCAGTCGACTGCCATCTTCCCCGGTAGGGCACAATCATCGAAGGCGTATGGAAAGGGAGGGGGGATCAGTGTGTGCATATCAGTGTATGTGTGTGTGTGTATCCAGAGTTCAGCTGAGACAGTGTCCTTCGCCCGCCAGGCTAAGTAAACAGTCTTCCAGCCAACCCAGGTGGCCTTGCATGGAATGGGGGGAACAATCTAAACACAGTCGTTATCAGGGTGTTTTGTTCAGCTCCAGCCTTGAGACCGCAGCTGGCGCCGAAGGGGTCTCCGCATGAAGTGATGGTGGTTTTTACTCTAGTGCGAACAACTCATATGAATTTCAAAGCTGTTCTAACAGTCCAACACTGGTCTCTCAATCTCCCGTTGGAGAGCCGTGAGCTTTGCCATGATGTTACTTACATTCCGTGATGTTGTCATTCTTGTGCTCAAAGAGCAGGTTCTGAGAACTCACGACTGCAGTGCACTTCCCAAGATGTGATCCAATTTGCGCTCAAAGGTGTTATTCGAGCTAGTCCCTCCAGATGTAATTCAGTTTTTCACTCAGAGGTCTTGTTCTGAGTATTCACAGCAGCCGTGCGTTCTCCAAGATCTTATCCGTGCTGCACTCAATGAGCCCATTTTGAGAAACTCACGCCTCGTCCCATCATTTCAATTCCAGCGGGCAGCCTTGTGGGGGTTTGAACAGCCGGTTCCGCTTCCTTAATTCTTCGATAAGCCAGGGCCAAGCCAGCTCCGATCAG